AAAGAGTTAATGCAGCACAAAGTAGCAAAATAAAAGTGGGATGGAGAACCCCTGCAAGATTTACTGGCAGAAGCCTTAAGGCTCCAGACACTGAGGGAACAAACAGCAAGTGTTGTAACCTCAACTGCTCCTCTTCCCCCTCCTCCTCCTCCTGAATTAACAGATCCCCTCAAGGAACGGGGGGGGGGCCTCTCTGGTTATTGAACCTCTTTCACATATAGGAGCTCCATGTGGGAGGCTCATCAGTAAAATGACCTAGGACTCTAGAGGTTGACCATGTATTTGTATCCAGCAGGGTAGAGGTGCTCCTACACTGGCTGCAACTGACACAGTAGCAGCAGTTTTACTAATCAGGAACCAACCCAAAGCCGGTACCAAAAATAAGCAAGTCACATTACAATCTTTCCAAGGGAAGCCCAGCCTAGGATGGGAAGGGGCAGAAAACCGTTACTCCGTACAACAATTTAAAACCTACAGAGACTGAATTCAAACTCCTGATAGGACAGGTGACGCCATTTTAGGAGCAGACTGACTGATATACCACAAGGCACTTTATGGAAATTAGATACAATTCCTCCCCATAAGGAAAAATTGGACAACAGATCCTATAACAAAAGTAGGGATGTAAGCGACTAGTCCGGGGTGGCCAATCCGTTCCAGACAAAGAGCCACAATAGCAGTGGAGACAGCGTGAGGAGCCGGGGCAAAGCTGTTGAGCAAAAAAACAAAACAAAACAAAAACCGCTACAAAGACTTGGGAAAAGTTGAGAGGGGAAAAAAAACCCATACGCTGAGGGAAAATAGGTGCTGGTACACCGTCCCATGGCTGCTTCCTTTTTTTTTTTTTGCCGAGGGGGAGAAGAGTAACTTCCCCACGGGGTTTTCATGGCCCTGCCTTTTTGTTTGTTTGTTTTCGGCTCAACAACTTTGCCCCGGCTCTTCACACTGTCTCCACTGCTATTGTGGCTCTCAAAAGAAACACTGGGAAGGGGTGAGAGGTGCAAACTCTGGGAGGGAATCTGGGTGCAGGAGGAAGTAGAGAAGTAGATGCTGGCTCAGGGAGCGGGGTGCCAGGCTGGAGAAGTTGGGGTCAGGTGGAGGGTTGGGGTGTGAGAAAGCCACAGGCTTGTGGCTATGAGGGTGCAGGAGTTTGGGCTAGGGTGCATGAGGGGCTCAGGGCAGGGAGGCTGGGAGTATGAGGGGCTCAGGACACAGATTTGCAGTGTGTGGATGGTGCAGGAATGTTGTGGCAGAAGACTGGGGATGGGGGAGCAGGAGTTTGGGGATGGGAGGGGCTCAGGACAGGGGGTTCCAGTGTATGATGGGCTCATGTTTGGAGTTGGGGACGGGGTTCAGGAGTGTTATGATGCTGCGGCCAGATGGCCAGCTTATTAGCCAGGCTTCATTTTCAAATAAAATATGTCAAACGCAAAATGTTTCAGCATTGTCTTTATTTATGAGAGGGGCAGGGAATCTGTTTTGAGTCAGGGGTCACTGACCCACAGAAAAGTCAGTCATGGCCACACAAGTGAGATGCAAAAAAAACAACCCCCCCCCCAATCCCTCCAAGAAACCCCCCCCCCCCCCAATCCCTCCAAGCCTCACTAATATGGCCCCAACTGTGCTGGTGAGGGCAGCGGACAGGGCGCTGGGGCAGGGTACTTGCGGGGGGGGGGGTCTGGCCAGCGGGAGGGGACAGAGCCAGCTGGGGCCAGTACCTGGGGATCCCGGGTCTCAGGAAGCGCACAGGCTGCTCTTCCCCTCCCCTTAACAGCTGGTGCTCTTCCTGAAATGCCCGGTCTGTCGCTCTGCCAGGGAATTCCTTTTCCCCCAACTGCCTGCTTGCCTGTGCAGGGTGTGTATGTGTAGGAGTCCCAGGACTGCATGGCTAAACAGCTGGTGCACTTCCTGAAATGCCCAGTCTGTTGCTCCACTAGGGACTTTTCCTCCCCCCCAGCTGCCTGCCTGCACAGGGTGTGTGTGTGTGTAGGAGTCCCAGGACTGCATAGCAGCTCCAATTTCTCAGGAAGTGCGCACTCTTTCTCTGCTCCCCACAGCAGCCACATGCTTCCTGAGAAGTAGCAGCTGGCATGCAGTCCCAGGATTCCTACTCCCTCCCACCTCTGCGCAGGCAGGCAGCAGGGGGAAAAAGGTCCCCGGTGGTGCGACAGACCTGGTATTTCAGGAAGTGTGCCAGCCGTTTAGGGGAGGGGAAGAGCAGCCTACTCTAACCCAGTCCCCATCTCCTTCCCCAGAGACAGGCACGTCGCCCGCTCTACCCCAAAGCCAGGCACACATTCCCCCCAACCCAATCCCCCTCCCCCAACTCTAACCTAATTCTCGAGTCCCAGAGCCACTGCTGCTACAGCTGCGCATCTCCCTCCAGGTGCTGGGGCACGTGCACGGAGCGGCCAGCTTTGACCATGAGCTGGCCGGGATGCTGTGCACAACCTAGTCCCCCTTCCCTTCCTCAGAGCCAGACACCTCCCCTCCCTGCTGTAACCCAATCTCCCTCCCCCACAACCTTATGCTCGGGTCTTGGAGCCAGAGCTCTGCACCAGCAGCTCTTACTACATTTAAAATGCAGAGCTGCAAGGCAGGTGGCTCCAGAGCCGGTACATGCCAGAACTGCTCAGTCCCGGCCTGAATCAGCTCCTGGAGCTACCCCTGCTGCGGTTCTGCAGAGGCGCTCGACTAATCGTATAGTTGATACAATTTGATTAGCCAGATAATCACATTTTAATATCCTTAAACAAAAGGGGAACCAATAGTTGCAAATATTATGGCCCAACAAGCCACAGAATGGTGCTTAAAATTCCCCATTGTCTGGACCCAAAAGAAAACTGATTGCGGAAAGATAAAAGCTTGTGTTAAAATTGTGGGAGAATTGGTTCCCTCACAGAAACAGTATCCTTATCCAAAGGAAGCAGAATCTCAATTGATGGAAATTATCCATGCTTTAAAACAACAAGGAGTTATTTGGAAGACAAATTCTCCCTTTTACTCTACTGTATGGCCTGTAAGGAAGGCAGATGGGCGGTCCAGGCAACTGACTATTGATTACCGCAGGATTAATAAAAGCACAGTCACTGTGACCCTAGTAGCGGCAGATATGACAAGTAGCACAGAAGGTACAAGCCACTTCCAAATTCTTCTCTTATTGATTTAGCAAACTGCTTCTTTGCCACACCATAGCATCCCTAACCCCTGTTGCCTTGGCAGACAGGCACTCACTGCGAAGAGCTTCTGCAGCATCCAGCCATGGTATTTCTTCAAGGCTATTTCATAGGCTTTCAGGGCGTTAACTCGGATGAGGTTCGGGTTTTCATCGTCCCTCTCCCCGTCTGAAATGCTCTGCAGAAGAACTTGAATGAACTTCAGGCCTCTGAGTGAAGTAGAGCACAGAAGAACCATGTGAGAGGTTCATGCAGACAGCTCCCAACCAGGCATTTCACTGTCCAGCTACCACCTTTTGGCCACAGAATGACAAACAGCATCTGACTTCATCCACTTTACCTTGCTATGAAAGGGGAGTGCCATATCCTTCCCTTGGGACAGCTCATGTGTTAGTTACCCAAGGGAAGGCAAACCAGGTTCACTGAGTGTTTAGCCATTACAGATTACTTCCTCCCTTCCATTGCTGTGATCCAGCATCTCATAAGACAAAGAGCATTTGCCAGCTTGGCAACTCCTTGCAAGCGTCACCCATGTTACCAGTCTCAAAACATCTCTCCGAGGGAGGTTAACGGGCTGTAGCTGCAGCAGGCCTCACCACGGGCTGACCTCCCCTAAGATTCTGGATTTCTTGTGCCAGGGTTTTCGTGTGGCCCTCTCTAGCATTTACTATTCCAGCCATACATGCATCAGGAGCCCGCACAGTCTAGGCCAAAGCCGGCCTTCAGCCCCATGGCTCTGCTCACAGCTCTAGCCTTATGGTGGGGGAAGAGGGCTGCATTGAGATTCAGGACTCTGGGGGTCAGCCCCACAACTCTGATACTGACTTCAGCTCTGCTGGGGAGCCCAGAGCTTTAGCCCCACAGCAAATGCTGAGACTCTGGGCTCCCTGCAGCTCTGCTCCCAGTTTCAGCCAGCTGTGGGCAGCAGGGCTCAAGGTGTAACCCCAGCTCTAGACCCACTGTGGCTTGGGGCACCAGGTGCAGGGCACCGCAGGGCCTGGAGGTCTGGACTTCAGGCACCAGGTAGAGGGTGCATGGGATTTTGGCCCCACGGCTCCAGTTTCACTCTTGCAGGGAGGGTCAGCCCCACAGGGGCCTCGGGCTTCAAGCCTTTGAGACACCAAGGCCTGGGGTTTTAGACTTGCAGGGGACACTGGGACTCAGAGTTCCATGGGAAACCCTGGGCTTCAGCCACGGACTCCACAGCCCCCTGGTTGGGAGCTACTATGCTAGAACATACTTTACAGATGGGAGACAACAGCACTGTTTTACCAGGTGACAGACATACTGGAGAGGAACCCAAATTAATAGTCAGGAGTTTTAACTAAGCCAGAACCAAGAGAAGCAACTCATTTCTCTGCAGTGGAATCAGCATTTGGCATGTAAGTTTAGAGAGCAAGAGATATGCCCCCACAAGTATACAACAGCTGCAGAATCCACATTTCACCTTTTCAGCCACATGAGCGCTAGTGTTGCACCAGTTTTCGGCCAGGCTGCTCCATACATTTCCTTCTCCGCTTCCAAAATGTTCTTTAGCGTTTTGAACTTGGTAGGATTGGATTCATAAACTGCTCGGATTTTCTGAAATTGAGCAAAGGAGAGAACTCAGAGCTTTGCTTGAAAGCGGTCTACAATCTGAGAAACGAGCATTGCAATCGAAATGCACAGCACTGTGAGAATGGCCCTCCCATGACAGGCAGCTTAGCAATGCACATCAACATTGCAGGAGGAGAGAAAATGATTTATCCTAATTCTCGGGGTTTAACATCCATAGATGCATCACAGTCATGTAAGAGAGGAATTCAGTGGCACACTAGCCAAAAGGCATCTTTGCCAGACACCCAAGTTCACAGAATCGCAGGCTCCTTCAAGAAGAAACTTTGATCCTGGTATCCATTGCTGGGGGTACTGGGTGGGGAGGGGTAATTTCAAGAAGCAGCAACTCACTGAGTAAAGGCCAGATCTAAATCTGTGTAAAGGAATAGTAGACATGAACAGCAAGTGTCAATTCTGAACCTATACATATGGATGAGGGAGGGAAGGAAGGAAAGAGGCAGGAAGCAACAAGCATCCCTGGATTGAATGCTCCTGAAGTTGTATTAAGAAATCCAGTGTCCCCTCTTTGCTATCACCAATTTACAGCTTTCCATTTTGACAACAGCTCCAAATGGGAGAAAATCACCACATCCAAGTCTCCCTGGCATAGCATGTCGATTCCAAATGATTGTAGCCTTTAGTGGTGGAGTTGCATAGCATAGCACAAGTACCACCAAAACACAGGCCTTGAAGAATCCGAGCTCTCGCAGACACCCCTTCCTACCTTGATATTTCCAGCTAGATCTGCTTTGACTGGAGAATACACGATTGGTGTCCCAAGGCAATTTATGAAAAAAAAAAGGGGGGGGAGGGGAGAGCTTGTGTCAGAGAATCCAACAGAAAGAGCCAATTTGTGTCACAGATGCCTGAATCAGGGCTTCCAACTAGGTCCCTCTGAAACAAACAAAAGGCAAACAGACCCAGAAGCTTTCACAGGTACAAAAAAGCAAAAACACAAAAAACTCCCCCCAAAAAACCCCACCGCCCACACACACCAGGCTGAACAAAGCATGAGATCTAGAAATAGCCCAACTAGGAACAGAGTGTCTAGTGGGTAAATAAGCACATAAGCTTGGGGCAAAAACTGAGAGCCGCCCTACTGCTATCTTTATAGCATTTTGAGGACAAGTCAATTCACCTGTAAAGCCTACAAGTTGGTACCATAAAATTACTGGCATGGGAAGCCAGACAGAGGCTCCCCAGGGGTAGCGTGAGATGGCAGCAGCTTCTGTCCACAGGGGGTCCGGGTTCCCCATGGACAGAGACTGCACCAGCATCCCACGGAGCAGCCTCCCCCACCTCTATCCAATAGAGGCAGCAGCCTAGGGAGGGGGGAGAAGAGCAAGCAGCTCACATGAACAGATGTGTGGGGAGCTGGCGGCTCTCACTGCCTGTGGGGTCTGGCCCCATGTGTGACCACAAGCATTTGGGAACCATTTTCCCCACCACTTTACTCCTTTACCCAACTCCAATGCTGATGTTCCTGTGCTGTGACTGATGGGGCTCAAGCAGTCTTAGTAAAGCCAGTGCATCTCATTAAAAAAGAGACAGCAAGTCATTTGTAGTGGCTGGCCCTCAAGGCAGCCATTATACTGCTTTCTACTCTGCTTTGGTGGGGTTCTTTTGTAATGCAATTCTGCCACAATGGCAGACCTTGTCAGGAGCATGACCACTGAGGCAGCTCCTGGAACAGAACAATAGCTATTGTCCAATGCGGACATTTAACTAGCAACGGATTCCACCAGTGCAATGAGATGGGCATGATCCAAGAACTGTGAAAGGCAGCGGAACCAGCACTCTGGGTTTGCCACTGAAGAGCATCAATTCAGGAAATTCAACTGGGGCAATACATGCAACATGGCCAAGCTCAGGGACTGGGGCATCCCCGTTATGGTGTAACCCCAATGGGCCTTGGACACTACACTCCCCACTGGGATTTCTTTGCATGGGGTGCATTCCATGACAGCCCTAGTTCTCCCCCATGGATGGAAATGCCTAAAAGGCTAAGGAAATTCCATTGGCCAACAGCCCGGGACCGCTCCAAACAAGTTATTTCCACTGGCCCCCCAAATCCATAGCACACTGCAGGGAGAGGTGTCTGACCTAGGACATACTTTACTGAAGCCCCCAGAAGCCCCAGTGTATCACCTAGACCCCAATAAGGAAAGGTTGTGAATATAGCTTTGGTCATGCCACATTCAAGCTGACTCCCAAAAGGAGATGACAGCTGGGGCAAGATACAAGATTGGCTGCAGGGAGACAGGTCAGGAGCAGAGCGCCTGAGCCTTCAGCATCAGGAGGATGGCCGAGACTGCGTAAGTGAGCTCACCCATAGGATGCAGAGCACAGGTGGGGAACTTAAAGCCCAGGGATCAGATGTGGCCCCCAGCTTGCCTGGATTCAGCCCCTGAGGTTAGGGGCTCCTCTCCCACAGCATTGGGCAGCCCTTGCTTGGTGCTCCTCCAGCCCTTGCTGTCCCCCTGTGGGGCTAGAGACACAAAATCTACTAGCCTGCTCCCCCCCCCCCCACAAGCTCTGGTGTGTGAGGGGAATGTGGGGAGTGTTTTCCTCCTCCTCAGTTGGGGACCATGTCAGTGAAGGTTTTTCCCCCTCCTTCTCACTTGAGTGAGGGCCCCCCAACCCAAAAAGAATTCTCTACCTCCTGGCGCAGAGGGAGCAGATGGAGAGTGGAGGAGGACCCAGACAGAGAGGAGAACCAGGAGGAAGTCAGGAAAGCTGAGGGGGAATGGGATATCAGAAGGAATCTGGGCATGGCAGGACAAAAGCAGCAGTGCTGGCCACAGGGTGGGGATGGGCTGAGAAGGAATGTTGGCTTCCATGCCTCTGAATACCAGAGACAGTGGATTAGATGGGCAAAGCACTGTTTGCTAAACTCCTCCTTTGATGCCCACAGCCCATTCTATCTTGGGGAAAGGGCCCAGGGCTGCCCAGAATGGAGTCACCATCCCCTAGGTAAGATAAGATCCAATCAACCAAAGACGCAGCCACCAGGTGGAAGAGGGTGAATCACTTTCCACCATCCAAACAATGCTGTTTCTTTCTTCCCCCATTACACTTAAACATTATCACACACATACACAGCCCCCCAGTCCCTTTAAACGTGAATCATGATGCATTAACCCACAGCTATCTAGCTTTATCTATGCTTTAACTGCTTGATTATATTAAATGAATCAATTATTTACATGACTATTTACAACTGGTTTATAAAATTTTTATACTAAATGCAGAGATATTGAAGGGACACGCTTATTAGAATGAGAAAGATCAGACGCAAAATTGAGAGGAAGGGCAAGGAGCAGGGCATGCATTTCGCAGGCTCATTCTAGGTAAGCATCAAGTATCAGACTTTTGGGTTACAGTACACAATCCTTTCCACGGTGGCCAAGATTATGTTGTCAATGCTCCAATCTTCAACTGCTAATTGCGGTTTGCAGTTCCATTTCTGAAACATTAATCTGACTATTATTAGTGCTCTACTGAGCCATGGGTTTTCTGATTTATTCAGCTTCCAATGAACATCCATTACATTTAAAAGTGACACAGGTTGCTTGTCACAGCTTTACTGGATAGCAAAAATTAACTCAGCAATGAAGTTCTGCCCTTTTCAGGTGAGTGCAGGAGCCACCAGCTACTTCTTACTCCTAATAAGAATAGGGACCTTTTAGATCTTAACACAAACTGTCCTGTCACCACAGCTGCTCTGCCTTTCATACTCCTGTTTTACCAGTTTTAGCTTAGTTACTCCCTTTCCTTCTGATTTGCGACTCCCCAGAATGCAACATATTGGCTCTTGCTGGCTGCCCCACCCTACCAGCCTGGAAAAGCTGGTGATAAAGCTGCAGGTGAAAGGACTAATCAGTCCTCTGTCCTGCTGGCTTAGCAGACACCCGACATGCTTGCAATTTAGCAGAGCATCCACTGTCGAAATATTCCACTGCCATTCATGTGGCCTGATTTAAAAAAAAAAAAAAAAAAAAAATCAGGCTGTTTAGGGCTTGTCTACACACAAGTTATTCCAGGACAGTTATCACACTTTAAATCCATACCCTACTTTGATCCGAATTAACTTTCAAGTGTAAACAAGCAAATTAATTACACAGCAGATGTAGCAATGGTTAGTAAGGTGAACATTATAGAAATATGTGAAGGAGGCAGCTGCTAATGGCTTCACTTGTGCCTCTGTTGTGTGTTTATAAAGCAGGTTACTTTGGATACAGCTCCCTAAGGTCACAGCATAATAAAAGCAGGATTTCTCAACAGATGTTTTGAGTCAAGCCTGTATTGCCAGGTTTACCTGGCCACCCTATGCTGTGCTGGAGGGTTGCTGGGTTGAGACAGGCTGTTTCTCCTACATCACAAAGCTGATGTCTCAAGGAAAGACACCCTGAGAAACAGATTTCAGGCTGAGATCTCAACCATCAAGCGGCCCTTCCCACAACAGCAATTTAACAAAGCTTTCCCCCAGCCTAATTTGGGGCAGGGTAATAAGAACTCAACCAACCTCTAGCCTTACACAGGGACAGAAGCTACTAAGTATTACAAAGATTACTGCACAGATGACGGAGCTTCCAGTGACCTGGGAAAGAGGGGGACTGGACAAGGACAGCAGTTTTGAGGTTAAGCACTGGACTGGAGTCCAGTCTGACCCATCCCGGACACCACCCATGATTTTCCAGATGACTCTGGATAAATCATTTTAACTCCCTTTTTAATTTGGTTGGGCAGGCCTGGGCAGATCTTACAGTCACTGGTTTGTTTCAAGAGAATTTGAACCGCATGTGTCAGGTTGGATAGGGTCTTTGCCAATTAAATTTCTAATGCAGGAGTTGTCTAGTGATGCAATCCAGTCAGTCATTGAATTACAATATGGTTGAGTCAGGCAGACCAGGTGTGGGATGATCCCTTTGTAAGAAGCTTTGGTTCTCATACACGAGCATCCCTCCCCAAAGATGACAATAATGATGGGCTAAAGACCTAGCTGAGCATTTTAGGAAATTTCAGCACATCATATTTCAGACAGGCTGCTGGGATGCAGCTGGAGGACGGGTAAAAAGCGACATTTTTGTTCAACTGATCTGCTGCTCCCCATGTGAAGTCAGAGTCAACAGTTTTATTCCAAGTTACTGTTTTTTACCCTACATCGCTAGAGGTAGGAAACAGTGCTAGACTTTACAACAGAACTGTTAACGTGGCTCCAGATATCTGACCAAACCCTGTCTTCACCTCCCCCCATCACGGGGAACATTTGTGGGATCGGACTGCCAGAAGCAAAACAGCTTTTCCCTGGTACTCTGAGAATCTGATAGTTGTGGGAACATGCATGAAAACTCTGTTGCCCTTTTTACACTGCTGCTTCACGATAGAGTTGCCTTTTACACTGACTGTTCTACACCAGTGCTTCTCAATCAATGGTACGAGTACCCTTAGGGGGACTCGAGAGAAGTCCCGGCTATGATGACATTGTTTAAACAAATGTGTTCCAATAGTAGAAAAAAAACTGCGTGTGCCTGAAAACTGTAGGTACTGGGGGTACTTTTTTTTTTTTTAAAGGTGTACTTTATAAAAAAAATGTTGAGAAACACTGTTCTAGATGCTCCCTGCACCAAGGTGGAGTAAGTTTTGTACAGTCAGATTTCAGGGCAACCTATGTAAAACAGATCCTCCTTCCCCCCAAGGCTTCTTACGCTTGGCAAGATTTCTTACCCATCTCTGGGCACTGGGCTCAGCAGAGTTGGGTGCTCAGAGAGGGTTTTGTTTGGTGC